TCCTCAAGCTATGTAATCAGTCATGTCCTGCCACGTACATGGCAGAAGATGACAGGTTTTCTTCGAACTTGGAAATTTTCGAGTGACAAGTTCCTTTGCAAGTATAATTAGCTGAAAAGGTCCCTGTGGAAAGGGTAAAGTATCCCAACTCTTTCAGGTATAGATTCATTAATTCTTTTAAAATGGAAGGTTACATATCAAATATTTTAGTTATGTCTAATCCCTCCATCAGAACTCCGCTTTTGTGAATACAGTACAGTAACCTGGCACATCAGTTCCTTTCCCTGCCCCCCAAGAGAGACATGAAGGTAAGGAGAGCAAGAATTGCTTGTAGGAGACAAGCTGACCCTGCACTAAAGCTCTCTCAAGTTTCCCACATTTGGTCAGCAGCTGCTGAGATTCAGCTAATAAGGTATTTTTTTAAATATAAGTCACGGCAGTGCAGCTGGGCCTAACAAAGATAATTAGTGCTGACACGTATTTATGCTCTTAATGGTTTTTTCAGATTTTACTGGTGGTGTATCGGTTTTTACTTGAGGATTTCTTAAAGGATTCCGTCACTGGGTATGTATTTCGGGGCTGATGACCTGTCACGGTTTATCCGAATGGCACCTCCGTGGGAGTCTAACTGCTCCTGCTGAATACCTGAGGAAGTTACTTAAACATTCACCACCAATAACCAATGAGGCTCCGTACCAGAGGATTGTGTGTGTGTGTGTGTGTGTGTGTGTGTGTGTGTGTGGTTTGTATGTAAACATTTTTGGTAGTGTACCTTTTTATCCCAGGGGTTCTGTTTATTAACAAAAGCTAATTCTTTTCTGGGCACTTGTTAGAGTTCTTCAATATGAATTTTATTATGCTTTAGAACGGATTTTTCCCTTGAGAACCTTTCTGAGGTATCACGAAGTAAAGAAGAAACCTGTGGCTGTTACTGTATTTACGACCTGTCAAGAACGTGTCTGATCTGGGTGGCAAAGCCGAGTAATATGGTCTATGAATAATAGGTATTCTGTTTTTTAAATGGTTTCCCTAGCTGGATACAGGCCTGGCTGTTTCTTCTAGGGTCCCAGCTGTTAGAACTGTTGCCGCGTCACGGCTCGAGCTCACCAGCTGGAGTTCATAGAAATCCCCCCCAGTCCGGCCGGCGGAGGGCCGCTCCCAGTTCCCGGCACCGTAACATGGGCCCTCATTGCCCGCATTTGGGATCCTGATTAAGCACCTCTACCCCCATCTCTCTGCTTCCCTCTAATCAAAGGCGCTTTTGAAGACCGGCACGTGGTGGAAACGGCCCCGCCCCACCACTCAGGTACAGGTGCGAAGCTGCCCGCAGGTGGACCCATCAGGGAGGGGGCGGAGCCCGCGCGCCCGCGGAGGCTGAGGCGGGGACGCGGATGCCGGCGGCCGGGGAGGTCCCAGGCGCCTGGCGGGCTGCGTCCCCAATTTTCCGCCGCGTGAGAGGTGAGAGGTAAGCCCGTTCTCACGGTCGCGTAGCGGCGCGGTCTAGCGGGAGAAGTGTAGGGACGGCGCAGGCTGCGTCCGAAGTTCAGAGGCCTTTCCAGGCAAAGACCTCGGCGGTCATTTCCATGAACCCCCTCACTTGACAAAAGCCGAGCCCGAGGCCACGGAAGTGAAGTGGTTTGGCCGGGGTCAGGGAGCCAGTCAGCCGTGGAACCTCCAGCTCCAGGTCCCGCCTGGGCTCCCCAGTGTGACCTCCCTTGCCGGTGGGTCTGTTCCCAGCGAGCTACAGTACGGGAACGGGAACACCGTAGCACGCTTTTAAGAAGCACGCCAAGCCCAAGTGCAATGATGCGTCCCTTTATTTATAAACAAGGTGGGAATGCTGTGTTCTGTTGGGGAGCGGGAGCGGTGGGGGAGGGACGAGGGGCTGGGGGTGGAGGCCTGATTCCAGTAGTTGGCGTAATTCAGCACCAGAGCAAATGCTTGGGCATAAGGTCGTACTTGAACCCAGACGAGTCTTCGTCTTCTTGTATGTACAGCAGAGTCTTAAGTAGGTATGCTCTTCTTATGGCTTTGTCCCAGGACACATCGCAGTGACAAAACAAAAAAGTCTGCAAATGCCACATGAGCTGATTCTTTAAAAAGGGGGTGGGGGGAGGTCTGGTGGCCTAGACTAGTGCCGAATGGATGCCTGAGGAGCAGGAACATCTCTGCTCCAAAACCGGCTCATCTGATTCACCTGCGTCTGTTACGCCATCCCGTCTCTCTCTCTGGGGTATGCTTGGGTGCTAAAATAAGTCCTGAAGATGGAGAGAAAACAAATGCACAGTCTTCCTGTCCCCCCTCAAGGGATGGACTCACAGTGACTACAGCCCGAGGCCTGGAGCAAGACTGCAAGCCCACAGAGCAGGTCAGAAGGCAGTCTTGGGTCTCAGGGTCGCTCCTCTTGAGGTTGGTTTCCTTTACTTTTCTGAGGTCCTGGCACACGGGAGCTGGCTTGCCAGAAATGGGCCATTCAGTGTGGCTAGGCTATTAGAGTTTCCCCTGTGTGTTTTAGCTGGTAGAAGGGTGAACGTTTGATTTCAGGGCCCTGGGAAGAGGATGTGGCAGCAAATGAAGAAGTAGTGGGACGGGGGAGCTCGGGGACATGGCACCCCACCCTGCATGGATAGTCACTAACCTTGGGTGTCTGTGAAAGGAAGCCTCCCTTCTTCACCTGTTGAGGCGTGAGTGACACTTTGAAAGGGAGCAGAAAGTCCCTGCTCCTCCACTCCCCCGCTTCCAGCCGGATTTTGCCCACCCTTCTTCTAACCTGCTCCCTCCTACAACACTCTGTACAGTTCTGCAGTCCTCAGTCTAAAGCTTCCTTCCCTTTCTAGGGCAGAAGGGACATTTCCTTGCTTTCTGTCATTTCTGCTTGCCTCTTCAAGCCTGCACATGGTTTGTACATCTCTCACTCCAGCCCTGACTCACTTTCGGCCATGACCGTTGACCCAAAAGAAGGGCACCCACATCTTCTCCTGGGAAGAACGGCCAGGAGTGTTACAGGTTGGGTTGTAGAATCCCCGCCCCCATTCCTTCTGAGCCTCATGGCCTGAGGACAGCGGGGAGGGATTACTAGAGGACAGCATGGAGACATGAGGCGAGATTTAGAACTGTCTGTGGGTGGTTTCAGCCCATCTCTGGAATAAGCCAGGTGTTGCTGATGTCCCATCGTTGGCAGCTGTGATGGCACTGAGTCTGAGTCACATAAGGGGCACCTGTCAGCATGGTGTGGAAGGCCTGCAAACGCAGCATCGGCCTGGTGGAGCCCCACATGATTTGCTTCAGAGCACAATTCAAGTAAGAGTGGGTCTGTCTGTCCTGGGTGATGGAATAAGCACATAAAAGGCCTTCCCAAAATAGTTGCCCCCACATAGTGAGGTCCAGAAATGGGTTGAGAGCACAGATTTTCTATAATGGCCTTCCCTCTCTCCAGGTCCCTCTTTGCTCCCTTTTTCTGCCCTTGTTCTCCCCACCTCGCCCTGCCTGGCTGTGCTCATCCTTGCACTATCCCAAGTGTCAACCAGCTGGAATGAGCAGAGAGGCACGGTGGAAAACTGGGGCCTCGCTCCTTCTGCAGATCAGTGCTCTAGGGCCTGGCTACAGAGAGCTTCCTTCTCACATGCCACGTTCCCGCCAGCTTTTTGTCCCATGTAAGTGCTCAACAGAACCCTGGGGAGCGAGCCAGGACAAGGGGGTTCCAAGCCAGCTCAGCTGCATGGTTTTGCTTCCCAGCAAACACTACTTATCTCCAGGTGGGCAGGGAGGTAGTTCAACCCCGAGAAAAGGGGAAAGACATGCCACCTTCCTTCATTGGTTTCCCCATGTGTCACCCAGAAAGGCTGGTTCCCAAGGCCTCTGAAAAGGGAAGTTTCTGTCACAGGAGATGCTGAGCTCTGCCCACAAGTTGCTGGTTTGGGCCTCTGCTCAGTTAGGCCCCAGCTCTCCCTTTGGCTTTGCTAGCACAGACAGGCAATGTTTCGTCTACCTAGGGGCGCGATTCTTCCCCCTGACTCTGCCGGCTCCTTTCCTCCCTGTCATTAGCAGACAGTAACTTCAAACGACTCAGCAATGCTTACGCTCTTCGTCCCATTTGGCAAACATAGGGCTGGGAATAACCATATAACCACGTAGTCCGTTTCAATGCTGAGATCACACTGAGGTTCCCGTAGTGCTCTGGGAAGCTCTTCAGAGCCTCCCTCCAGCCAAAAACACAATGGGAGGCCATGAGAACAACATACTCGTTTCCTGGTTGGGACAAGACATTTCTACAGGAATCCAGGATGATTTTTTGACAAAGTGCCCAAGTCACAAGGGAACTAGGTAGTCCTTTAGACCAAGGATTTCAGCGGGGGATTCGGGTGAGAGCAGGAGCATATATTGTAGAAGGCTACCACCATACATTCCTATTGCATATGGTATACACCCCGGATAGCATATGTGGAGCATACGGAGAACAGATACGTGCAGGTAGCACCCCCTATTGGTATACTATGTGGTTTGGTACATCAAACTGTTACTTGAGGCCTATGAAATTGTTAACTGGTCAGAAATGGGAAAAGCCATTCCAGAGTTAGCATCCTTTAAGGAGAAGCTCCAGGAGACATTAACCATCTGCTAAACTTGGAGCCAAAGCAAAGCAGCTCCTCTTCATTCATACACACACACACACACACACACACACACACACACACAGTGTTTTTCTTTGTTGCATTTTCCACAGGTTAAGGTAATTTCTGGAAACCATGAAGTCAAACCAAGGATGAAAAGTAGAACCAGGACCATATTAGGCCTTCTGTGGCGTTCTCCTCAACAGAACTGTCCTTGAATAAGAAGTTAAGGTTCATGCTAGATGACCTTCTATATATCTGATCTAAAGCATGTCTTTGTCTATGCACCACATTCCCAGAACTGCAAAGAATCGATGTGTTGCAATATTAGGTCTCAGTAGCTAATCTGAGAAGATTGGAATTGGTCTTTCACTTGACTATTTCAGAAGCACTTTGCCACCTCTATCGGAAACAACTTTATTCTGGCAGAGCTTGGGTGGTAGGAGGCAACGTGCAGGGCCCTTATGAGCTGGAAGTAGCAGATTGAGGGAACAGCCGCTTCCATGGGTGGTGGACTTGTTAGGGGTGGATGTAAGGACCAAAGCAGAAGACACCCGACTCAGTGCAAGTCTCCTGGGGGTGCTCGGCATCTTTCTTTAGCAAGGTTGAAGTAGTGATTCTAGATGCTGCTAAGAAGGTTTGTAAAGGTCGTCCGGCTTGAAACCTCCATGCAGAGCCCAAGTCTTATGCTGAGTGGAGACTGAGGGAAAGCTGGTCCCCAGGCCTTTGCTTAGCTGAGCTGCAGCTCCTGCAACCGTCACCCTTCCAACCCCACCCAGGCACACCCGGTGACCCCACCTCGCCCCAGCCTGTGCGGTGCGGCCCTTGCTGTCTGCCGGAAGCCTTTACTTCTCATCCTCATCCCCCTCGCTCATGCTGCTGATGGAGGCTGAGGCTGCTTTGGGTGAGGAGGGGGGTGATGTTTTGTTTGGGAGCCACGAGAAGGTGGGCGACGGGGAGCGGGAGGGGGACCGGCTCCTGGTGGGGCTGCTCACAGGGCTCTGCTTCGGGGACAAGGCCTGCAGCATCCGGCTACTCCTCTCCTGGAACATCTGCTTCTAGAGGGAAATTTGAGAGAAGGCATCTGTTAAGTTAGTCACCTGATGTGGCAGGGGAACAAAAAGGAAAAGCAGGAAGGAGAGCCACCACCCCACAACACCGGTCCCCACAGACTGGTCCTACAGCTGATGTCGTCCAGGACTATATATGGGGAGCAGCTGAGGGAAATTCGGGGGCAGTGAGATGTGGCCATGGAGAGGACCATCTCTGCTGGTTCTTAGGACGCTTGCCTTCTTGCCTGCCTTTCCCACAGCTACAAAATTTGAGTGTCCATTCTCTCTCAGGCAAACAGTCATGTGCAAGGTACAGAAGGGCAGTGGGAGATAAAACAGAAATCCCTGTCCTCCTCGACATGAGGACGAGTCACACAATAAACAAAATGAACAAAATAAGTGGATGTCAGAGGGAAGTACAATCTGTGAGCAAAAATAAACACAAAACAATAGCAAATGGGGCTGTGAGGTGGCTGGGCACCTGGACAGCGGTTGTAACGTGGCTGCTCAGGGAAGGCCTCAAGAAGACCTGAAAGATGAGGGAGGGGCCCGTGTGAATGGAAATCGGGGGCAAACACATTCCAGACAGAGCACCTCAAAAAGAGAGCAGGCAGTGCATGTCGGAGGAGGAGCAAGAAGGCCATCCATGGTGGCAGGAGTGGAGTCACAGGCGGGGGGGGGGTGAGATGGGGGAAGGGGTTAAGAGGAAGTCACCAGAGGGTTGACAGAAAACTGTCACATAGGGTCTTGGTGGCCATGTGAGAACTTTAGGCTTTACTGTGAGAAGAGAAACCTTGGGAGAGTTCCTTTACCTCTGAAGTTCTGGGTCCCAGACTGAGGAATTCTGACTTTGGTTTTAAAAGGACCCACCCCGGCCGCAGGGAAGCCAGAGCAGGAGCTGGGGTAATGGTGAAGAGCCCACTGTAGTGAGAAGCCAAGTAATTAGAATCGTGCTGGTCTGGACCACACCCGTTGTCATGCGGATGAGATGAGGTGACAAATGGCTGGAGGGGGCGCCTGGCTGGCTCAGTGGGTTAAGCTGCTGCCTTCGGCTCAGGTCATGATCTCAGGGTCCTGGGATCGAGTCCCCCATTGGGCTCTCTGCTTGGCAGGGAGCCTGCTTCTCTCTCTCTCTCTCTCTCTCTCTCTCTGCCTGCCTCTCCATCTACTTGTGATCTCTCTCTGTCAAATAAATAAATAAAATATTAAAAAAAAAAAAGAAATGGCTGGAGGCCTGGTCAATGTTTTTTCCCATAGTTTTAGTAAGGTGTGATGGTCTTAAAGTGAAAGTCAGCCTTTTTAGTCTCGGTTCCATGAGTTTTGACAAATGCCTGCAGCTGTGTGACTGCCACCATGGTCAGAGTATTAGGAGAGTTCCATCAGCCACCCAGTCTCCACGAGATCTTTTGTCACTCCCTCCCCTAGCCTCTGGGAACAGATCTTTTTCTGTCCCTCCAGTTTTGCCTTTTCCAGAATGTCCTCTAAATGGAATCGTGCAATGTCATGGTCCCGCTACATGTGGAAGGTGGAGCCCACAGGAACAGCTGACAGATGGGATGTGGGGTGTGGGGGGAAGAGGAGACAAGTGACTCCAGTTTCTGGCCTATGAAGCTGGAAAGACCGCAGTGTCATGTGCTGGGGTGGGAGACTCGGGGGGGTAAAAGGGATTACAGTTGTCAGACATGCTTTCCCACTGGAGATCTCCAGTGACTCCTGCCCTGTGTTTTCAGAACTGAGCTCTTCCTTGGCACTGTCCTTCAGCTTTATGGGGACATCCATCCTGGCCTAGCAGTGGTGCCCGCTGATCTGCCCTTCTGCTCTCTGTGGCAGCTCAGCTCCTACCTGTGCCCATGTCCCGTTCTACTCCCCTACCCTGCCCCTGCTGCCTGGGCTCTGTGCCCTCAGTTCTCTCCCTTGCTTGTCACAGAACCTCCGCCCCCAGCACCTCAGTCCAATCTTGGGATCCTAAACTGGCCCTGGGGGCCACTTCTCCATTTGTTGGCCATTTTAGACTTCGCGTCATTTGAGTTACTCACTTTACAAAGCAACACAGAGCCCCCTGAAGACCAGGTGCTACACAGGAAATGCTCATACTCCAGCTGGGGCTTCAGTGATGCATCAGGAAGAGGGGATGAGGAGGGAAGGAGCATGTGCAGCTAGTGGAGGGGTGACTTTCCAAGCAGAGGGCGCTAAGGAGAGAGTTCTGCGTACAATTCTTGGCATGACTGTAAGCTGAGTGCCTATGGGGCTGCCCATAGGCTGGGGCTGGAGCACCAGGAGGAGCTGGATTGTTTTTTCCCCAAGAGCCCCTGGAAGATTTTAATTAAGGGAGGGCTATGATCAGATTTGTGTTTTAGAACTACCTTTGGGTAGGAGCATAAAAGCAAAGAGAGAAACCATAAAGGAGAAGTTTGGTGTTCAACTATACAAAAGTGTAAAACTTATGTATCCCCCCGCCAAAAAACCCACCATGAGATAAGGTAAAAGGCAAAGGAAACACAAGGGGGAAGTTCTTGCAATATTTAACTATAAATAATGGATCTTAGTATATAAACGGAGCCTACAAATTAAGAAGAATGTAAAAATGTTCTAGAAAAATGAGCATATGACTTGTTAAGACAAAGCACAAAAGACTGACAAAGGACCTATAAAAATGTTCAGCATCACTAGTAAACAAATGCAAAATGACTGAAGTGAGACACCTTTTTGATATATCAGATTGTTACAGGCTGTGTTTGTTTGTTTGATCTTCCCAGCATGTTAAAAAAAAAGATTTCCAGTTTTATTGAGATGTAATCGACACACAGCAGAGTTTAAGGTGTAGAGCGTAATGATGTTACTTAGACATTAACCACAGTAAATTAACATCTGTCATAAATAAAAGAAATTTATATTTTCCCTTGTGATGAGAACTCTTGCGATCTACTCTCTTAACTTTCATGTATACCACATAGCAATGTTAACATTGTTAACAATGTCTTCATGCTGTGCATTATATCCCTGGTACTTATTTATATTATAAATGGAAGTTTGTACTTTTTGACCACCTGCATCTGATTTTCCCTCTTTCACTCCTTTCTCTGCCCTGGTAACCACAAATCTGATTGCTTTTTCCCTGAGTTGTTGACCCCCCCGCCCCCAACGACCTGTGAGTTCATGTATTTGTTTTTCTCTTACTTGTTTCACTTAGCATAATGTCCTCAAGGTCCAACAATGTTATCACAAATGACAGGATTTCCTCCTTTTAATGGTTGACTAATATTCCATTGTTGACACATCCATTCATCCTCTGATAGACACTTAGGTTGCTTCCATGTCTTCACCATTGCAAATAATGCTGCTGTGAATGTGGAGATGCAGATAGCATTTTGACCTAGTGTTTTTGTTTCCTTTGGATGTATTCCCTGAAGTGAAATTGCTGGATCATATATACGGTGGTTTCAGTTTCAAATTTTTTTGAGGAACCTCCATACTGTTTTCCACCTTGGCCACACCAATTTAAAATTCCACCACCAACACACAAGTGTTCCTTTTAATCCATGCCCTCATCAGGATTTGTTATTTCTGGTCTTTTTGATGGCAGCCAGTCTAATTGGCGTGAGATGAAAAGTCCTTGTGGTTTTTTTTAAATTTTTTATTTTTTTATAAACATATAATGTATTAGCCCCAGGGGTACAGGTCTGTGAATCGCCAGGTTTACACACTTCACAGCACTCACCATAGCACATACCCTCCCCAATGTCTATAACCCCACCACCCTCTCCCTCCCCCCCTCCCCCCAGCAGCCCTCAGTTTGTTTTGTGAGATTAAGAGTCTCTTATGCTTTGTCTCCCTCCTGATCCTGTCTTGTTTCATTTATTCTTTACCTACCCCCAAACCCCCCACGTTGCATCTCCACTTCCTCATATCAGGGAGATCATATGATAGTTGTCTTTCTCCGATTGACTTATTTTGCTAAGCATAATACCCTCTAGTTCCATCCACGTCGTCACAAATGGCAGGATTTCATTTCTTTTGATGGCTGCATAGTATTCCATTGTATATATACACCACATCTTCTTTATCCATTCATCTGTTGATGGACATCTAGGTTCTTTCCATAGTTTGGCTATTGTGGACATTGCTGCTCTAAACAATCAGGTGCACGTGCCCCTTCGGATCACTATGTTTTTATCTTTAGAGTAAATAGCCAGTAGTGCAATTGCTGGGTCATAGGGTAGCTCTATTTTCAACTTTTTGAGTAACCTCCATGCTGTTTTCCAGAGTGGCTGCACCACCTTGCATTCCCACCAACAGTGTAGGAGGGTTCCCCTTTCTCCACATCCTCGCCAGCATCTGTCATTTCCTGACTTGTTAATTTTAGCCATTCTGACTGGTGTGAGGTGGTATCTCATTGTGGTTTTGATTTGTATTTCCCTGATGCCGAGTGATGTGGAGCATTTTTTCATGTGCCTGTTGGCCATCTGGATGTCTTCTTTGCAGAAAAGTCTGTTCATGTCCTCTGCCCGTCTCTTGATTGTATTATTTGTTCTTTGGGTGTTGAGTTTGCTAAGCTCTTTATAGATTTTGGATACTAGCCCTTTATCTGATATGTCGTTTGCAAATATCTTCTCCCATTCTGTCAGTTGTCTTTTGGTTTTGTTAACTGTTTCCTTTGCTGTGCAAAAGCTTTTGATCTTGATGAAATCCCAATAATTCATTTCTGCCCTTGCTTCCCTTGCCTTTGGCGATGTTCCTAGGAAGAAGCTGCTGCAGCTGAAGTCGAAGAGGTGGCTGCCTGTGTTCCTTTCTCACATTGAGGTCCTTCATCCATTTTGAGTCTATTTTCATGTGTAAGGAAATGGTCCAATTTCATTTTTCTGCATGTGGCTGTCCAATTTTCCCAACACCATTTGTTGAAGAGGCTGTCTTTTTTTCATTGGACATTCTTTCCTGCTTTGTCGAAGATTAGTTGACCATAGAGTTGAGAGTCCTTGTGGTTTTGATTTGCATTTTTCTCCTGATTA